AAATATTTATTTTCTTTAGGAAATCCATTTTGTCCCTCGAGCGATTCGAATTCCGCGCTGCTTCCGCCGCTAGTACGCTGCGCGGCCGGAGAGGACAGTGCGGACCAGGTGCAAGCCATCGATGGAGTCCAGTGTACCAGCGTCCTATCCACTATGCCTTCCGTTTGGGAACGCGATTGATTGGCTGTGCTGAGTTATTACAAAAAATGTATGCATTGTAGTAAAAAATAGTACAGGACTTTTCGACTGCTTTTTCAACAAGCATAGCGTTGTATAAACTACAAGTTCTGTTACACCCTATGTACTAAATAATTTCTTGAACATCTCTGAGGTTTGAGCTATCCCTTTGGCAAATAGTTTTATATATGAAGGACTACAAAATAACAAAATATTGGGAAAATCAGAGGCATCCATACCTGACCCTTTTCTTCTTATACAAGACAGGACTTAGGGTAACAAAATCTTACGTGATTACCACGAGTGGCCCCCCGAGGATTACCGGCTGATCTAATACTTTCAAAAATAAATAACCAATTTACCCTTACCGCCACAGTTCCGTAACTAATTGTGACGGCAGAATTCTACCACGTAACACCATATCGTGTATATTATTGAAATTTTCGTTGCTACTTTAATTGAAGATCTAATAAGTCCGACAAATTCGATATTGCAGTTAGCAACACTTTTAAATGGTTCAAAATCATAATTAATCACTTGTAGAATGAAGTGGATATTGTAAGACGAGGAAAATGTTTAACCCTTAGCGCTCCGCAAATTTCGTAACGTTATGACGAATTTCTCCGTAGCGGAGCCAACGGAGCGCTAAGGGTTAATATTGAAAATATTATAACCAAAATACTTTTTGGGGGTTTACAAATCCTGATTGCCTACTAAGTTTACTTATTCACGACTCAAAGATATAAAGACATCTATTCAATCGAATTTCATTTGTACTTGTCACTCATTAAATGATTTCAATGCTCCAGTACACTGTCTATGCACGAATTAAAAATGCTCCTACACATGTCATCAATTCCTTATTTCATTACTTTTATAGATTATGACGCGGTATCGGGACCAGTCGTCACGATTGTAATTTTTACGACATTTAAGGGAAACTGAGTTGCTGTGATCACAACCGGCACAGGCCCCGGACTGGCGCTCTTACGCTTGTTATGTGCGCCAGGTGTCCCTCGATGTATGCCCATTTTCGGGAATTAGTATTTTAAAAACTTCGTTCGAATCGTTTTCATTGTGATTACAATCATGTAATAAACTTGTTTTTTTACACCGAAAAGTTATTTTTGAAATAAATTCGTCAAATACATTGACCTACTTATATTAATTCTGACTCAGGAAACTGAATACAATCATACTTTCATTACACATCTGAATTTCCTCTTAGTGAAACCTATCACAAGTCTACACCCAACAATGGATCCTACCACACGGGGTGATACAGCCGTTAGGATCGTCTTCTCTTTTTTTCTGAAATAAAATGTGTTGTGTGCCTAAATGTATCGCAATGGTTAATTTCATTACTAAGACATTGAACTCGTTCCCGTTTTTAATCCTCTTTGACATTTCGTACTCCGTTTTCAGTATTGTTTCAGCCTCAATTTTTCGTACTATCATCGTCTATTGTGTTGTGTTCCTAAGTGTATCGCTATAATGAGAAATTCGGGTTCGTCTTGGATATCTGCCGTCGAGCGGCAGCGAGAATGTTGTAAACGTAAACGCGGTGAAAAGGAACGGGAAACATGTAATCAGTTTCTTATAAATACTCCATTTGATAATTATGTAGGGTGATCCTCTTCGATCTTCCTATAATTTGTATATGTTGTAGAGGACGTTGTTTCGAGTATGTTCATACATATATTTAAGGGTCGGACTTGAATATTTTCGGAGTTATTAAACAATTGAAGAATAGCAATAACAGAGCATGGCGGAGCGTGTTACTGGGGCGCAAAGCCCCCAAGTAACACGCTCCGCCCCAGACCCAGACCCCCCTAAAAAAAACCTAACATAACGTATTAAATTTCACTAACAGCTTAGATTAGGTTATATTTTATGGGGAGTTTGGGGGCGAATAAATATGCCAAAATATAAGAAAGAACGTGAAGTCCGAATGTAAAAAAAGCGATGGAACTAGGAAAGTAGCCGAAAGTAGCCAGGTATGTACCATTTTTTGTTTTCTTTTTTTCTTCATTATAATTCCGGAAATATTCAAGTACGACCTTTATATATATGAAAATACTCGGAATGACGTCCTCTGTAATATATTAAAATTATATAAAAATCGGAGAGAACCACCCTTTTATATATAATTACCCTCCATTTTCGTTGAGCACGATAAATAAAAAAAGTTAGATTCAAGTAAATTTTATGAAACCAGTTCAGTTTATTCAGAAAATTTACATCGTATATTTTTACATTCATCGAGCACTTCGTCATCGTACATTCTTTCCTTCGTTGGAAAGACATGGGGTCATGTGTGTTGTGGGTGCTAAAGACGCCATAAGACATGTTCGTGATCCCATGCGTTTCCTACGAGGGAAAGAATGTACGAGGACGAAGTGCTCAATGAATGTTTTTTGTGTAGGTGGGGTTTTCTGAAAGGCCGACTGTACCACAAGTATCGGGTGTGCGTTTTCGTACTCCGACATCCACGAGTGGACAGAGAGGAACGACGGTGCTGCAATCTCAGGACCGTCGGGCTGATCTTAGGAGGCTCTAACCCTAGAGTACGCCCCGGCTTGAAGGAGTTCACATTCATCTCACTGCAACCGGGTGGACGAAAGACCGACATTCCCAGATAACACTATTGTATCTATGAATGTTCTTTAATCTTTAAATATATTCTGGATATTTGAAATATTTAGTGAGTATTCTGTATATATATTCACATGCTTTGAATATTCTCAAAAAGGTTTGTATGCATTTTTTTTTCGTTTTTGAAACAGTCCAAAATGAAATCCAGTTTTCAACCTAGGTATCATATGACAGGCAATATAAGGAATTTTTCATTTGCAGGATGATAGTTATAACATCCAAACTGCTAATATATTTTCTACGGACTGTAGAAAATACCAGGTACAATGCTCTAATTTATTAAATGAAATATCCATTTATCAATTTTGAATAAATCAGGCAGCTCTGTTTAGGCCGATTTGATATCTTTGCTATACTGAAATATTCCATATATATGAAAACATTCTACATACGTATATTAGAGATTTTGTTCCGTCTGAGTAATTACCACGATAGAAGTAAATTTAGTTGTTTCATATATGACAATACTTTGTCAGTTAAGGACAATATTTCTTTTAGGTTCAAAGTGACATAAAAATGCCTAACAGGAAGTTGAAAGATCGATATATTATTTGTGACCCGATTATTTTACAGTAATATATATAATGGAATCTTTTTATTAATAATGGGACAATGTTTTCTGAATATCTGAACAAATATTCCTGCGGATATTATATGGTTGTCTACCAGGTAGACATTCTGCATATCACGAATTCACTGTATATCTTAATTAATTGCATCATATTCTGGGGACAACGAAATATTCGACGTGCATATTTGTAGAACTTTCATAGGATCCAGGAGTGTTTTGTGTGTTATTGGATGTAAAGGACTCTGTGAAGCCAAGATACAGATTCTCTTCGAAGAACCCCACTTTTACAAGCTTCATTATTTGTGTACTTTCTTCCGAAAACTTTTCAAAATGACTAATTCGTTACGGAACTAGATATTCAACTCCCGATAACTACCGTTGAATTCTAACGCCTCATAATTAACCATTTCGGTACGGCGCTCGCCGGCCGGCGGGTTCATATCACGGCCGTCGCTAAAGTCGACGCTCGGCTGTGCGCCTTCATATCACGGCTGTCGGCGAAAATTGATGCTCGGCTGCGTGCGTTCATCTATGGCTGTCGACTACAGTCGACGCTCTTACCGAAGTGGTTAAAAATCGCAAATTATTAGTTGTTCTTGCTAAGTAAGATAAGGCACACCTTGCAAGTAAAGAATCTCCGATAGACACGCGGATGTATATTGTTACACTTCTGCAGACCGCTACCGAGCGGTCTTCAACGCCGTTGTCTCGCCTCACGATCTTCGTTTATTGAAGTATATCATGAGCGCGTTTCGTTCTGTATTGACACTGTACTTCTTTTGATAACACTACAAATAGAATTCTTTAATTCATCGTAAATTAACGACCAAATTCTTGAAAGTCTTTGCGAGCCCTCAGCGCAACCCTCCAATCACCCTTTAAGGACTAAAAAACCTATCCATCCCACTAATGAGATTGATTTAGGCTCTCGGGTTATCCTTGCCTTATTTCCTAAATTATCAACTGGTCACACGTGCGTACGAGTTAATTCTCATATAATCATCGAACTGCTCGGAGGCATCTGCAAACATCCCCCGATCTGGGTAGCCACTCGGCCGCCGTGTAACACTGTCATCAGTAAACTGATATAGAACCTGCTTTATGTAAATTTGTTTCATACTAACCTGAATATTTGTTTGAACAAGATTGAAGAGTTGTGCAGCTCGCCTACACTTGAAAGCATAAATGCCAGGTCCAGTGGAGCAGCGTCTACCAGATTCAAAACTGAAGATTTCGGCATCGTAACCATAACGGCGTAAACAACGTAACGGCCACTTCACAGGCTGTTTACCACACTGATACAACACAATGTCCATATCAGTAACTTCCAAACGGCCGGGTGTTATCAAGTTGCCTAATTCGTCGACATTCATCACTTGAAAGATATTTGGATGGAGGTCGTTAATGTCTGCTCGACTATTGACACACCCCATCCTTCGTTGGTCTGGAAAAAGTATTTAACGGTTTCAAGTTGTATAACTTAGGATGATGTAGATTATTATAAGAGTCTTCATATTTAAAAATCTCGTGGGAATAAATCATTTCTTATAATGAACATTTTTTATCAAAGCAGTGTTCGGTAGTTACCAACCAGTGAGCAATGAGATATTTAGAATAAATCTTTGTAAATTACGTATATAGAACACTTAGAATATAGTAAATACAATAAATATAGAGAATACTTATAATCTAAGATGACCGCGAGCCTAAGTATTTGTTTCGACTTCACAAAGGTTGCAGATCTCACTGTCACCTTTAGCGAGAAGCAATAATAACGACTATAAAGACCAAGTTCGAGCCATGCCGCTGCTGCGCCACGAACCCCAGTTACGTTCTCTTTGAGTGATACAAGACGGCCCTCCTATCCACCCTGGGTGTATGACCTGCTACGGCAAACTACGATATGTTATTGATACCAGAGTACGGTTAAGGATTAATTGGCATGAGGCTCAACCAGGGGCAAGACCAGGGAGTAAGGTCCGGATCGACAAGAGAGTAAGGAAGGATGACGCGATATTCGCGATTATCACATTGGGAGTGGGCACAAAAAACCGAGAATATGATCAATAACCGGCGCTCAGAGCAGGATGGACTTCCGGACTAGGAGCCCAGTTAATCGGAGTCCCTAAGACTTGCATATGTTGCTACAAGTGGACCACGATTCCTCCGCATAGGAGCACCAGTCATACCCAATATGTGAATTCGCCGACACCCAATAAACCACCCACTATCAATGAACGTAACGTTAAGGAAGCAATGGCAATCAAAGGGCACGCATTACCACCGGTGTCGAGACATTGCAGTTCCGCTGACAATATGACCTTTAACCACTTGCGGTGCAAAGAAATTCTCGGTTGCGCGTGCCAGAACAGTCGAGCGGGAATCACTTCGCGGTGCGTTCAGGCAGCGTTCAGCCGACGTGCGTAACACGTCGCTGGCGTTCCGGTAACAAAAGCATGTTGACGTGCGTGGCACGTCTTTCCACCGCAAGTGGTTAAATTAGATCAGCGCGCGCTATTTTTTGACGCAATATAAATTGCTGAAGATCCTTTACCAATCCGCATTTAGGATTCAGTGGAACCTACCCTAGAAAATGTGACGCAGCGTTGAATTCGACCTTCACTGATTAGGATGGCCGAATCCAAAGGTCCAGCTTAATTTTCAGGTTATTCAACGTCTGCCTGCCTCAGCAATCAATCGGCAGACCGAAGGACTTGTAATGGATTCATAAGCAGTGAGTGGACGAGAATGAGTTTGGATTCTTTTATTTCTGCTTCTGTCCTTACAAGTCGGAGTCTGGTGAAAATCTGTCTGTCTTTACGGAGCTGAACAATTGTTGCTTCGCAGAAAGGGAAAATGAAGTGGAAGGAGCGTATCAAGAGCCAATAGGAACGTTGGGAAAATCTATAATGAAAGATGGAAAAAACAGGAACTTTGGGCTGGTGATTCGTTAGGACTAAAGGTCGTTGAGGAAGTACAAGATTTTGAGTTCTTAGAAAAAGAAGTGGATTGTTGGTTCGATCGAAGTTCTCTCGGAAGGCGCTATAGACTATATAAATTTCGATAAGAAATCAGTTTTAGCTAACAGCGCAAAAGCGGAAGACCCTAATAACGGCCTAACAGCGGGATTTTAAGCGCATCCTCCAACAGCTTAAATAAAACAATTCTTACTAATGGAAAATTGGGCGGACATTACAGACTAACTAATCAACGTGGAGAACGGCCTTCTGTAAAATCGTAAGTTTACAGACTATGAATTTGAACACCCCTTCCAATTTTATAATTCCTTACAGTTAATTATCAAATTATACATAGGAATTATTATTATAAGTTGATAATAGTGTTTCTTTTTCCTAAGTCCCTGTTAATTAGCCCACAGGTCCGGGCCCGTTGTTGCAGTGATGTGCCCTTGGGGAGGGGTCAGAACATCCGTCCGTGCAGATACTCTCTACCTTCCATTTTTGACAAGGGAGGTTCCCCAACCCAGAAACTCAAAAAATGTTAGAACTTGAGAGATATTTTGAATCGCATCAAAAACACCTTCTATAGGTGTAAAAAAATTCGCCAAACATATATATGTTCCCGTCAATAGTCCTTTCGGATTATAATTTCAGTTACATTAAGTTAATCCGGTCACAAAACAACAGAAATCAATTGTTATGCACCAATTACAAACAATAATTTTTCTCAAGTTCACTCAGATTTTTTATTGGCTAAAGAATTAATACACAAAATTTGTTACGGTACGCCGGTGGCGCTCGGGGTTAGGTGGCGTCGCCCCGCCGCGGCTAGCGTCTGAGTAGGGTTAAGTAGCCAAAATGTCATGGAAAAATAATAATAATGATGTTTATTAATCGGCCTGCGGCTCCGCCACCGTGGTCTCCTTCGTGGAGCTACAAAGAAACAAACGTGTGTGTCACTAGAGTTTGTCGTCCCAAGGCGGGATGGCGTTATTAAATATATGCTACGATTGCTACTTTATCTATCGTGTACGCTTTAAAATTATGATTCTAAATGTCGTGTCAAATTTATACCGCTTATTTCGTCTCGTGCTTTTACTCGCGACTGTCTGGGTCCGAGAGCTCGTCCTGTGGCCCTGATTTCGAGAAGCTTCAAAATCTGTTCTATTGGGTTTCGTCATGAGTCGCGTCTCTGGAGTTTCTGACTTTGCCAGTGTTTGGGCGTCTCCATTTATCCGTCGCGGGTCGTCTCGCTTTCGGGAGCCCGGAACCTGGGCGTAGCCTCGCCGCTGTCGCTCACGCAACTAGGCTAGTCTGTGCGTGTCGGGTCGCCCGTACTCTGACGCCGCGCGCCCTGCCGGGTGACACGACTAGTCACAAATTTATAAAACTACATAATTCAAATTGTTAAAAAAATATCGAGATCCGTTTCTATGTATCAAATCCAAAAATATATAAATTATAGTTTATTAATACCTTTTCTAAACTCAAGTATCAAAGAACAGAATCTATAACATAAAAAATATAAACCACTTTTAAAACATTTTTGGCGAGCCGTTACGTTTAAAAGTGCGAGGAAAACGATAATTCTCTGGAAGCATTATAGGCTTTATGTTATTACAGTACATTGAAAGAAGGAATCAACAATGATATGAATATATCATAAGGTACCTGCTGGCCTTGGGCAAAATCAGGATTTACGTTCGTTAATAAAGTTCAATATTTGGTGACATTGACATAGTAAATGTTTAAAAACATGTGAGGTGATTTTTTTATATATTATTATGCAGCTTGCCAAAAATGTTTGAATAATTGTTTATATTTTTAACGTAATAGATGCTGTGTCTTAATATTTTAGTATAGAAAAGATAATAATGTACCAGAAGTAATATACTTTTGTATTTGATACATCGTAACGGATATCGATAGTTTTTTTTAACAATATGAACGATATAGTATTATAAATAGATAGGTAGATTTATTAATTTCGGCCTTCTCGGCCATGAAATGGATTTGGTTTACAATCTTTCTTTAACACACACACGCACGCACGCCGCCCGCGCCACTACCACCACCACTTACACTTCGCATTCATACCCTCTTTCTTCGTTTGTCTCTTCTTTTTTCTACTTCTCTTAACCATTCTATTGCTTTTTTATTTATGCTTCCTTCTAATATCTCTTCTAACCTACTTTCAGCTGTTTCTATTCCCCGGCATTCTTCTAACCAATGTTTTAAAGTACCATATCCATTCTTAGACAACATGCATTCCCTGCTTCATTCATCCAACACCTATTCCATTCTTCTACACATCCACACCTAATTGTCACCTGTAACTTCTGACTTCCTCCCTTTCCTATCTTCTCTAAATACTCCGGCCTTTCTACCATTCTATGCTTGTAGTTTACGTCATATCAAGATTCTTGAATTTTGTTATATTGTTCTTGTTCTTGCGCCTCTTTGTTTCTTTGGTAGATTATCTCAGATACTTTGCATCAGTTAACCGCTAACTCCCTAGCTCCTACTAAACTAGACCCGTTTCATTGGTAACAGTTTACTCTCTCTTTGCAGCACCTTGAATCTACTCTATCACTATCTTTCTCTCTTAGACATCCTTTAGCAATCCATTTCTCTCTTGCCAACCTTATATTTTCTTCAAATCTTATCGCTCTTCTTCCGGTCCTAACTTTAATTTTTTCTCTTTTCACTTCGTCTAAAACTACATAACTTGGAGTACACCTATCTAAACCTAGGCACCACTTAGTATATTTTGTTCGAACAGCTTCAATTTCTTGTCTTTCCTTCCATGCAAATACTCCGGCCCCGTACAGAAGTATGCTAGACACCAGACAGTTAAAAAAAAAACATTTTTCTTTTAAAATCGTTTCTGAACAAACGCCTTCCTATACCCCTCACCTGCCGGATTATAACATTTACTCATTTTACCCTATCTCTGTGTTTCGACAGTTACCATTTTTTCGAAACTTAACTCTTAAATATACGAACTCCGTAACTGATTCTGTCTTTTTTGCTTTCCAATTCCATTCCGTTTTCCTGTCTCTGCCTCTTTCCTTTCTAAATATTAGTATTTTTTATTTATCCACGTTGAGAACCAGTCGCTTTTTATCGAAGTATTTCTCCAATCTTCTGATCAATTGCACCAGCGCCGCGATGTTATATGCGTATGCGAGTGAACAGAATTTCTTTTTCCCTGTCACCAGGCTATTGGATGACGCACCTAAACCCAGCCATTACGTCATTATTAATACTTAGATTAGTCTACGTATATTCCTAAGAAACATGCTCCAAAACTAGCGCCCTGCTCTCGCTTATCCTTATCCTTATCCTTGTCCACAATGAGTCCACAAATTGCCCCGAAATCTTCAATCAGAAAATATTCCATGATTTCCCCAATTTACTAAGAAAGCCACATAATTCATGCATTTCCCTAGAAAACCGATTATTCCTACCCAAAACCCTCGACGAATCACTAAAGAGAATTCCCTTCCGAACCTACGATTCGACCAATGAGTTTTAGATGCGTACGTCATCTTACGTTAACAAAAAGACTAGATTTTCACGAGCAGAGGAGAACAATAGAACTGACAACAGTAGAGAACAGAGCAGAGCAGAGCAGACTCCTCTAGAAGCGTCGACCTACCTTCCTTACTGGATTCAAAGTTGTAAAGCAGTTAAAAATAAAAGCAATTTTATCGCTTCAACACCGGAATCCAACAAGGCCTCCGCTTTGCTCCTTTAGTAATTCTTCTTCAATATCTGCAATCAGAATTGTAAACAGGGTTGGACTCAGCATACACCCTTGCCGTAACTCCTCTCTCGTCCAGAATTCTTCTGTTGCTTCATCACCTACTCTTATCACATTACTTGTTTCTTCATAATTTCTTTTATTCTTTCGATGAGCCCTCTACGTACTCCTCTTTTTCTCATGGTTTCCCATAATAATTTCCTGTTGACTTTGCCGAACGCCACTTTTAAGTCTATGAAAAAGGCTGCTATTTTACCTCCGTTCTTTTCAATCTCACGAATTGCCACGTGTTGTAAGATATATATGTTATCCATAGTCCCTCTATTCTTTCTAAACCCCGTCTGTGTCCGGTAGCAATTCTTTCTCTTCCATTTCTGCTAATAATCATTGGTCTAGGGTTCCTGTGTAAATTTTATAAGCTACATCCAGTAAGGATATTCCCCTATAGTTAATCGCTTATTCCTCATCCCTCTTTTTGTTGATGGGGACAATTATAAGTTTTCTCTACTGCTTAGGTAAACCTTCTCCATTCCACACTCGTCTTAGCAGCTTCGTTGGTCTCTTCGTGGTATTTCCCTCGCAGATCTGCCACGCTTCTCCCGGGATTCTCTTCTGTCGCTTTCTTCCGCTTAAGTCTTCCAATTTGCGCGGCGATTTCTCTTCCCGTCAGTTCTTCTACATCCTCTTCGGTGTCTATTAACTCTCTTTTTTCTCCTTCTTACTTTCCGTCTGTTCCATCTAATAATGTCATGAAGTGGGTCCCCCATTCCTCTTTACTTATAGACTTTCCTCCTTCTTTTTTCTTTTTCCTTCATTTATTAATGTATTGCCACAGTTAACTTTCGTTTCTGACATTCTTGATTTCCTCTAACTCCTTTTCTTTCTTTTTCTCTCTTTGCTCTATGCAAAGCTTTTTTCTTCTCAAGGTATTCTTCTTTTGACGCTTTTCCCATTTTCCATCTTCTGTAGTTCTTCCTTACCTTTCTTTTCTCCGATCTACATTGGCGGTCCCACCAACCCGAACTGTCGATTTCTTTTTCTTTCAGCGTTATCTCTCTTATGTCCAGACACTTTTTCATTTTATTTTCTAACTCTTCCCATGCTGCCTGGATATTATTTTCTACATATACGATCCTTTCAGATTCTTCCTTAAAAAATTGTATGCTTTCCTTTTCATACTTGATAACTGATTTTCTTTGTCCTTCTTTCTCTTTCGTTTCTTCCTGTACTTTACTTTTCCAATTGAGGCATAACGGCTGGTGGTTCGACTCCACTCTATGTTCTACCATACATTTTTTGGCAACTGAACGACTTTCCGTATTCAACAAGGCGTAGCTAATAACTGTTGCTCGTCTGCTTCCTACGTAGGTGTACTCTCCATCTTCATCCCTCGGCATATTTCCGTTTGTGAAATGCCAGCCTCTATCCTCTACAAGTTGCAGCAGGATGTCTCCTGCATTTTTTATTACATCCTTCGATTTTCTATCCAATGCGCTCTCCCCGTCTTTCTCTGAAGTTTCCTGGTCATACAAATATCCTTCTCTGCCTATTCTAGCGTTGAAATCCCCGCCGATGATTAATCTACCTTCCTCCTCTTCTTCCTCTTTTTTTACAAGTTCTTTAATCTTCCGCGCTGTTTTCCCCATGTCTTCATTCCTGTATACCATCCAGATCCTCCATTCTTCGTCGTCCATCTTTAGTGTTCGTCCTACTACGCCTTCTGTTTTCACCATGTCCTTGTCAGCTTCGTACTTTTTTTTTACTCCTGTCAAAACTCCTCCTTTCGCCCTTCCTTTCTTCCACTCTCTCTTCGCATGCTGATACTTTCATAAGTATCCCTTTGGTAGTCACTTCTTCCAGCTGTTTTCTTCTAGCCAGGTTTCCACTAAGCCAATAAAGTCGAATTCACGTACGCATCCCAAAAAGTCCAAATCCTTCCCAGTCAACCTTGCGACATTCCAAAACAATGGTTTCCTTCTCTTTATTATATCAATATTTCCTGTTACTTTCTCCTGTCGCGCGGTTTGACTGCTTATAGAAAATTTTGTTGATGGCGCTGCAGACGAATATTCCCTTCATTCGCCCAGCTCCTCCACGATTCCCAGTCAAGCTATTTGCCATCTACTTCAATCTTCCGAAATCGAATTTTAACCTTTCTACCTTTTTTCTTTTCGGCTGTTGCTGCATATCTGAATTTTCTCTGATAACCTCTTTCTTCCCATGTGAGATCATTTTCGATAAAAAGGCTAGTCCCTCTCAGCTTACTTTTGTTCTTCATAACTTCTCGCTTCTCTTCCTAGCTATTGCAGCGAACGATCACGAGTTTCCGCCCTTCTCTTCCTGTCTCCTTTATCCAGTTCACCTTGCATTTCGTATCTAATTTTCCAGTAAACAGTTGCTCAACTTGTTTTTTCGTTTTTATTTCACCTTACTCCATGCCTTTAATCACCACGTTATTTTTTCTCTCTCTTCTCTCGTATAGTTCTAGACCTCTCTCAGCCTCTCGAAATCATCCTCTCTTTGCTCTCACATGTTGCCTTCTCCTCTTACATTGGATTAAATTTTTCTCTCTATTCTCTCGACTCCCTCCTCTATCAATTTCTTGTCTTCTTTCCACTCTATCTTCTTTTGCTCCGCTGCACCCTTTATTTTTTCAAGGGAAACTCCTTAACTCCTTTATTTTCTCTGTTTTTGCTAGAGCTCTTCTCGTCTCTTCATTGCTGCTCTTAACTTGGTCCACAAGCGCCCTTAACATTCCCATTATCTCTGCATTGTTCTCCACATTCACCCTTGTGGCATCTTCTTCTCTTGTCGCGTCTTCCTGTTGTATTTTTTCACATTACTACCCACGAAATTATCCATTACCTTTCTTTATCAGTCTTTCGACATTTGTAGATCTGCCTAGTTTTGATTTTCCCGTTTCTTCCTTACCATCATTTCTCGCTCTCTCTCTTTCTCTCCCTACCTACCTTATCTGCCATCACATATTTTCCTACCTTACCGATTCCTATCTGCCTCACCTGCTGTGAGTGGCTGTAAATGCCGGCCTAACCTCTCTAACTTCTACGCGCGCCTGCCTTTTTTATCTCTATTACACTAAACCTTCACTTCTTTTCTTGTTCTATTATCTTATCTCGTTATGTAACACATCCATTTTCTTCTAAAACCTGAATTTCGCTTATTCTCGCTCTATGTTCGCTATTTTCTTGCTTAGTTGCCGCTACCCCTTCTCACAGAGACTGCACACTTTCACCACCACAAACGAAGTCCTATGCAGTATTATAAATACTGTGTATTCATTTTTTTTCCTAATAAAAGATGTGAATGAACCTGAGAAGGAAAATTGTCTGTACTTGGTGCATAACAATTGATTTCAGTTATATCGTGACCGGATTAACAAAACGTAACCGAAATTGTGATCAGAAAAGACTAGTGACGGGCATATACAGGGTGTCCCATGATTGATAATGAAGCTTTTAAGGGGTGAAAAAGGGTAAAATTTTGAACTAGAAGTTCCTTTTCCATTTTTTGCTCAGAACATTTTTCATCGAGGTATTAATAGTTAAAGTTGATCAACGGTAGACGCGCGTCGTAGGGCCCCTCGCTCATGCCAGACGTTCCTCCAGAAAAATTTCATTTAAATATGTCAAAATATTTAATAAATGAATGAATTAATAAGTAAATAAGAATAAAAACAGTCATAAATCGATCAAGTAATCAATTTGAAAATCATTCTTTAAATACATAATTAGTTAATAATTACTGATTGATCGATTAATTCCAACTAATCATTTAAGTCATCCATTTATTTACTGCTTGGTTAATTAATAAATTCCTTGCTTAATTAATTGTAAAAAATTAATGAGTAGGTGAATAACTATTGTTAATCATGTTTTACATTAACTAATCAGCGTATCGTTCAACCTGAAATCAAAAAAAAAATAAAATAAAATGCGTAATTATTAAATGCTGTGTTCAATTGAATCTGCGGTAACGTAGCAGATCGTGGAGCCACGTCCACGTTCTAAAGCGGTGCCCTTTCCGGCCGAAGGCCTTCGAGTGTTACGTGGGTACCTTCCGTACCCTAAAATAGGGAAAAATCCTATTTTTCATTAACCGGAGTTAGCCATGGAAATCCGAGTACAGAAACGCGAAACTCTTGCGAAAGGATCCAACGAGTTCATCGGCCAAACGGCTCCAAAAGTCATCGACCGACCCGGGGCGAACAACCCGATGACTCCGCAACGCATCAGCACGACTCAGAAGTCCACCCTCACCTGCGCCCTAGGAAACCCCCACCAATAGGAATATCCTGCTAATAAAACCAGCAGTCCGATCAGAAGTCAGAGGTTAGTCAGTCTTTTGGTCAATTTGTGATAAGTCAACGTCAGTCGTCATCGAAACTTCGAGTGGAGCTCCTGGCCCCGGTACTCCGTTCCTAGCGAGTCAGAGACCGAGACCATTGGACTCCCTGCCAAGGACTACTATCCTGCGAGCTGCAGTAGCGCCATCCGGTACTCTAGCGATCCAGCCACCGAGTCAGGACTAGACGGCGGCACTGCGACTTCCGTTGGACGGGAGGCTTCTAGGAGACCTCCAACCCTAGGGCACGCCACGGGACGAAGGTGTTCACGCACTGTCATCCGACCGGGTCGATCAAAAGAGACTGTCACCGGTTACGGCCGCTGAACGAGCCAGGTAGAGGATCCTTCGCAAGCTCGATTCATCCTCATTTTCATTCTAGTTTACTTATTAACCCTTCATCTCCGACCAAAACCGAATACTAACCATTATCGCGATTTCCATGCCTTGCTCCGGTTAACCGGATAGATTAAGAACCCCTCAATCTTCTTTTAACAGCTGAGCTCGAATCTCAGCATCGCGAGATAGAATCACGCGCAGACCACCATTAAAATATCAAGAATTCCCGCGTCAGCACTCCGGCGTCCAGTAACCTGCCGCCGCTAAAGCGCGCTATCGCGACACCCGAACCGCCGCGACGCGGAAGTATACTAACCCAGAGAAATTAGGTCAAGGCACCTCGTGTGCTCCTCACAGCTGACTGTAGCTCAGACCTCGCGTACGAATAAATACAACTCTTATCGCCACATAGCCTTTCGTTCGCACCCCCTTTTTTAACCTTCACTCTCCTAGATCCCACCAGAGGAATTGATCTAGCCGCTCGGATCAATCTCCTCGCAAACGCAAAATAAACGTTACGCGCAAGATTTGGGTAATCTCCATCCGAATTACCCCGGCCTCGTATCCGCTCGGCCGCCCCATAACACGAGATACGGGGGGAGGCTGTGGGACCACGGTCTGAAAGGGATCAAGGCAGATGTCTCCATGTGGCGGAAGCACTGTGTCGGGAAGAGAGCCCTCCCTCAGGCGGCCATATTGGGGGGACGCAGTCCTTTCCGGACCCTTAAGGGCATCTCGGAGTCGATCGGGCCGACCCCGGAGCGTCCATGAGGTCAGGGCTCGTAGACGCGAATAGGATGATCCGAAGCACCGGTGGCATCGTGGGATTAGAGCGGATGAGAGTCCCGCCCTGGCGCCAGGGCTCTATTGAGCAGCTGGAGCAGAGCCCGCGGTCGGTAAGGGGGCCTCGCGAGGAGCTATCGCCCCTAAAGCGAATCCGAAGTCCGTCTACTGGACTTCCGCCAGACTACGTGACCCCGTAAGGCCCGCAGGGAAGCGGGTACGATGACGGGGGGGTCGCGAGGGCCTCGGCTAGGTGTCGTCGTGATCCGAGGTCTGCGTAGAGTCCGCGCGTAGGTTTCGGTTAACCGTTGACCGTTGAGATTAGAATTCCGAGTTGGTGAAGAAAGATTTACTTCGGTCTCGCCAGTAAGTTCGGGTTGACTCCGCGGATAATTGAGTTCTGTGCGTGTGTACACTGGTGGCTTGCGCAGACGGTGGCGGAGTTCATCCCGAGACCGCCCACAAGCAGACACGTCCGGGACCGGGTGCGGGTGGGAGGCTACGCAATCGAGGGGAGAGCCGGTCGGTGAGTCGCGTTTTTCAAGGACTGTTAAGGCCGTTAGGAGCCCCCACGTTAGCGTACTCGCGCCGCCTCGTAGAGGATTCAAGGGCTTCCGACCGAGAGAGGAGTAAGTGAGCGAGCGTGGGTCTCGCTAGTGTAGCTTGGTTTCTTTGATTTTCTTTTTATTAAAATTCATTTCGTTGATTCCATGAAGGGGTTTTCTTGTAGGATGCTCCTTTCCCTTTTTCAGCAACCGTAGCGGCCAGAAGCAACCCCCTTTCCGACTAGCTGGGAGCTAGCCAGTCGGACAGGGAATTTGAGGAAAAGACCGCGTCGGGCGATAAAACCCGACTGGCTCCCTTAAAGGGATCGGGGAAGCGATTCCGTTACTCGGTCCGCATTTCGGGAAAAAGGGGCCAGGTTTGCCTGCGGACTACCGGTCCTGCGGTCCGAAGTCGCGGACGTAGGGCCGCCGTCGCACTGTATGGGTGAGTAGTTGAGTTTCAAGTGTAATGATACTTGCCGTTAGGACTTCCGGAAGGTGATACATGAGGACTCGATTTCCGACAATTTCTCCCCATACATTCACTTTCCAACAATGCTGAGCATTTTTTTTCTTTGTTACGAAGGGATTTTCGTCTGTATAACAATGTGAATTATGCTGACTGAAAGTTCCTTCTCTTATAAATAAACTTTCGTCAGTCCACAAGATACTGCCTAAGAAATTTTTGTACTGGTACGAAGGTGGCAAGAAATGTTGACAGAATTGACTACGTAATTCTGTATGTCCTGGATGAAGATTCTGGACTGACGTGTAGTGATACAGATGGAGGTAATTGGAATGGCAGAGTTTTACCATCGATTTCGAGATGCCGGTTGCTTTCTTAAGCAATCGCCAGCTCGTCGGCGCATCGTTTTCCACAAGGTCCAAAATTTCTTCCTCGGTGGCAGAATCCCTCGCCGCGTAAGGTGTTCCCCCGTAACCTCTTGGCAACAACCGATTTTCTGTCCTCAGGTGCAGATCCAAACGCGTGAAAACTTGAAATACGGGTGAGCTCGATCCGGATAACAATCCGCGTACACCCGCGAGGCCTCCAATGCGTTACACCTACATTCACCGTAAATGAAGAGCATATCGATGTATTTGAAAACGGTGTAATCCATTTTGTACTTTTCACCTTGCTTGAGCAAGAAATCGCCAATAAATGGCGCTCTTATTTTTAGACAACTTTAACACGCATTTTGTTTCCGCTAATCTTTTGTTTTACTTTCACGCTTGGCAGTCGACTGGGAGTCATTTTTGCCAGACCTATGAAGAAATTGGCTTTCTTTAGGGACACTGAATAAGTCGACCATTTTCAGGGCCACAGAAAAAAAATGGAAACGAAACATTCTTGCAAAAATTAATTGTTAATTTAACAATAAATTTGCTTTGAAACCCTTTACCCGCCTCTCCGTTTTCTGAAAAAATGAAATGTTTTTTACATTCAGTTAAGTAAGGAATTGATTAATTAACAAACCAGTGAAAAAATGGATGACTTAATTAATTTATTGGTCAATTAATCGATCTATCAGTAATTTATTGATTAATTATGTAGTTAAAGAATGATTTTTAAATTAATTATTTGACCGCTTTAAAAGTGTTTTTATTCTTATTAATTCATATTTTCATTCATTTATTAAATAATTTGACATATTAAAATGAAATTTTTATGGAGGAACGTCAGGCATGAGCGAGAGGCCCTACGGCGCATTGCACCCTTGCGGACTTCGGCCGCGCGCTGCCTAATTGTTCAAATTTAGCTACTAATAACTCAATGAAAAATGTTCCGAGCAAAAAATGGGAAAGGACAATTCTAATTCAAAATTTTACCTTCCTTCACCCCTTCAGAGGTTTACTTTCTATTATAGGTCACCCTGTATATATGAATATATTTAGGGAGGTTTTTTGATACCTGAAGAAGGTGTTTTTGATTCGATTTCACATTTTTTCGTAATCGAATTATTCGTTAATTTGTTTCCGCTGCGACCGCCGCCACGAGAAGCGGTGAGAGGG